GCCCGTCCTCAGCCTGACCCAACTACACCCAACTTGCGCTACCCACTGAGAGCACCGAGCCCCGCCCCCGTCCTCCAGGCTGCCCACATACTGTCCCTCCACCAGGCTCACCAGCCTGCCACTTCAACTAATCCCTCACCTTTCAGATGTGCCCTCCTCCAGGAAGATTTCCCGACCTCGAGACGGGTGTCTCTTCTGTCCCATCTACCTCCACACCCTGATCACCCCAGGGTGTCCTGGCAGGGGTCTCAGTCTCCCCCATGGAGCATGAACTCTGAGAGGGAAGACCTGGGCCTGTGTTTGGGACTGCGCTCGCAGACCACTCCCCAGTGAATGCTGCAGCCCTGCCTCAGGCCTGCCCCAGCCCTGCCCCCAGATCCGGGCAGCGGGGAAGGGGGGAGGAGGGCTCAGAAGGATACATGAGCCTGGTCGATCATGCACTTGCACAGCGTGAAGTCGGTGTGGGGCAGGTTGGTGAGGGCCTTTAGCAGGATCTGGGCGGTGACCGTGGTCTGAAAGAAGGCTGGGTTGAACTGGTACCTGACAAGGGGAACGAGAGATGAGTTAACGGTGGCACCCCCAGTTCTGTGGGCCTCACCAGGTCCCAATCAAGCTGCCCACTGCCTTGGCCCAGAGCTCGGGAGTTGGACCTCCCTGAGTCCTGATCCCAAGTACAGTGGACTCTCCAGACCTACTCCCTGCTCTGTACACCTGGACAATTAATCCCCGGGACCACTTAGTTTGCAGACTTTGTCAAGAGATTCACAAATCTCTTGTGAGATTTGTGACTGCCTGAGTTTAATACCCTGTGTGTCAGTGTCCTCCCTTGAAAAAGGTGAGGATAACATCTCTAGCCACCTCACAAGGGCAACCCAGCGTGAGCTAATACCCACGAAGCCTATGGCACAGCAGCAAGCAAACAGCCAATGCTCCCTCACTAAGTGGCAATCACCCCAAAACAACCTAAAAATAATACAAGTGCTGTTAAGTGAACAAACAAAACAAAAACAAACCCTCAGACAGACAATAGAATGGTTCCCAGAGGGGAGGGAGGGGTATGCAGAGGTGTCTGAATGGTTGGTGGTACATGGTGACTGGGCATTTGGTGGAGGGCATGGTAAGACAGATGCAGTTACTGAGGTGAGAGAATGTATTGGAACCTATGTTGTGTTGTAAACTATGGTTATCTCAAGACACAGGGAAGAAAACACAAGTGCTCTTTCCTCCGTTGTACAGACATCAAAACAGAGATTAGGCCAACAGCAAAAATCACACAGCTGGCAGGGTGTCAGTAAAGCACCAAGGTCCAGCAAATGTCCATCAACAGGAGGAGACAACCAGAACACAGCCACCCACTGGGATAAGACACAGCGAGGACAGGCGAGTCGCAGCCACACAGAAACACAAAGGGAAAGGATGTCACAAACCCAGGGCTGAGTGAAAAATGCCAGATGCCCAAGTGTGTGTGCTCTGTGATCACATCTGTGAGACTGCAAAGCAGACGAGCCTGGCAGAAGATAGGCAGGATGCAGGCAGGAGTAGGGACATGAGAGTATGACACGGTGACCAGGGTGGGGGCAGGGGGCATAAAGCATAAGAAGCAAAGGGTCCAGAGCACTAACAGTTGATTTTTGATTTGGACGATGATGATCCCATGGGTGCTTATTTACAATGCCTTGTTTTTTTTTTTTTTTTTTTAAGATTTGTTGATTTATTTATTTATACAAGCACTGGGTACAGTCAGAAGCGCAGGAGGATGAGAGCAGAGAGAGCAGAAGAGGCAGAATGATGAAGTACTGCTGAGGGGAGCAGCGGGTGGCAGGAGAGGTCTGCACGCCATGTGAGACCCTCACTGGTGGCCGGGGATCGAACCGGCACTGCAGAGCCTGCAGGAAGCTTTTCAGCCCAGCGCTCAACCACTGCGCCACCAGGGGAGGCCCTACAATGCCTTGTTAAACTACGCATTTGGCTTTCATACTAGACTGTACCTGCATTTTGTGACTTTTAAATCACAAAATTGTTAAAACACCACCCCTCCTCCTGTCCCAGGCTCCTTGCCTTCCAAGTCTTGCATTCTCAAAACCAGCCACATTCTGTCCCCAACTCTCCCCACCCAGTGCTGGGAGCATTAAGTACCCTGCTGGCATGGGGGTGGGGAGGGAGGCAGACACTCACAGCTTCAGGACAGCCAGGTTGGCTTCCAGATCATAGGCATTCTCCTTTGCCTGTGTCTCCACATAGCGCTCCAGGGTGGCCAGGTTCTCGGGGTTGTACCTAGCGGAGAATCAAGATGAGTGAGCAGAGAAAAGACAGGAACTGAGACCAGTCATTTGCGGGGAGGGGGGGCACGCCACTATAACCTACACCTCCCTCCCTTTCTCTAAACCCCACAGGAGTTATTGGGCTTTGCTAGGATGCCTCCCCAGCCTCCTAATCAGTTACTGAAGCCTGCATACCTGGCCTCCTGGACCTCTTTGCCACTCACCCCTTCCTCCCCTCCCCAGGTCCCCGCCCTGCCTAGTTTCCCCCAGGCAGCCCTGACCACTCGCAGCTATCGCTGTCTGCTGTCTGCTGTCTGGTTTGTCTCAACTCCTGGAAAGCGTGGCTTGCAGCTCTCTTGGTGCCCTCGGATCCCAACAGAGCCCAGCAATGAAAGATTAAGTTCAGTGAACACGTGTTGAGGGAATGACATGGGGAGAGGGGAGGCCAGATTAAGAAGCACCGAGAGACGCAGTGAGGAGTTTCAATCCCAAATGGAGGGAACTGAGGGGCTGAGGAAGGGAAAGCTGAGCGCAGAGAGGCAGGCCGAAGGACTGTAACAGGTGGTCCCCAGGAAAGGGGGAGGTTCCCTGCCCCACCCAAGGGAGGGTGGAGCTGAGCAGGGAGAGGAGAAGCTGCAGAAGAGACTGAGGAAGGAAGCAGGATGGAGCCAGGAGACCTGGAGGAGGCGCATGGAGCCTAGAGACACGTGAAGAAACTGCGCTTGTCTTTTGGTCGTGGACTGGGTGACAGATGTGGGTGAGACCCGTGGGGAGGTGACAATGGCAGCTTTTATTTTGATGTTGATTTTGCTCTTTTCCTTCCGGGCTTTAGGCAGGTTTGCGGGGTTTGGGCTGCCCCTCTCCCTGCCCTTATAACAGGACGACAGCAGAGACTGAAGGTCCTCCAGGCTCCAGACCTTTGCGGTGTTTCCTTTAACAGCTCTTCCTCCAACATGACAAGGAAATCCCAGCCGAGCCCCAGCCCAGCCTCCTCATCACCCCCTGCGGTCTCCCCAGGAAATCCTCTCCCCCACCCCGCTAGGCTCCTGCCGACCGGGTTCAGACCTGTCGATGCCCTTGAGCAACTTGCCCACGTTGGCTCTCATCTGCTCGAACATCGCCATGACTGCCGCTGCTTCCTACACCCGGGCTGGAGCGGAGGACCCGGGCGCGCGGCGCCCGCGAGGACCGGAAGAGGAAGTGAGGGCGGAAACGGAACCTACGTTGTTGTTTTAACGCCAGGCCGGAGGATGGGCGGGGCGGTCAGGAGGCAGGTCGTCACGGCGGCCACCGCGCTTTCCGGCCGTCACGTGACTTCTTCCCTGCCGGCGCAGTTGGCGCGTGCGCATACGCTCCGCCCGAGCGGGAGCGACGGCGTGAGAAAAAGCTCAGTTTAGGCCAGTGCGCAGGCGCCTTCTGGGGGCGAAGAGGCGGAGCTAAGCTTTTCCCGCCCTCGCTTTCTCATTTCTAGTTCCCGGCACCTGCGCGCGATTCTCTGGGAGGAGACGGATCTGTGGCGGGGAGCGCGCACGCTGCGGCACGCGCGGCCTGGAACTCGCAGAACTAAGCTGTCCTGCGCGTAGTAGTTCACCTGTGCCCGGGGACCGTGCGCTCTCAAGTCCCTTGCGCCCCAGAGCTGGGCCCCTGAGAACAGGTTTCTGAGTTTCCCAAGTTCTGAACCTGGTCCCTGCTCTGCACCCCAACTCCAGGAATAGGGGCCCGCAAAGTTGTGCCCTGCCAAAGAGGGGCGAAGCCATTCTTGGACCTCCCCTTGGATCGTGCCCAGTGCCCACGAGGCTTTAGTAATGTGGGCGAGTTCCCCTTCTGTAAGGTCGTGACCTGTGTGCACAAATTCTGCGCACTGCAGATGTGACTGCACAAGCCTGTGTCATGTGCCCTTTACGGGGCAGGGAAATGCTTTAGACTTGTGGCCGGCTTTGGGGCCTTGCTCTGGGCCAATCCCATTTGGATAGAATTTTACCCACGAGGGGACGGGTAACTTTGGGTGCTTGATTTAGAAATGATCATCTTCTTTGCCTTTCCTATATTGTTTCCTAATTATATTAAAGTTCCTTCCCATTAAAGTCTCATGTGTTTTGTGTTGATGCGGCGGATGGCAGAACCTATTTACAACAGGGGGTTGCGGGGTCTGGGCTGCCCCTCCCCCTGCCCTGTAACAAGTTTGTGCTCTCGGTGTACAGCCACATGAGTGCACTCTGGCATCCACGCATGTGCGTGTGCACTGGTCTGCGCCCCGCACCAGCAGGTACCACAAAGTGCATGTCTATTCCCCAAGTGAACAGGCACATACATTACATGGCCAACCCTGCACGGATCTGCCATCTCCCGGTTGTGGCTAAACCCTCAAGCGCTCAGCGCAGGCTCAACTGTGGTTTCCAGCTGTCACCCAGAATGGGGGAGGGGGTGCTAGGGCACCCCCAAGTTATGATTGAGATCATTTGCATCTGGTTTACATTCAGCCCAGGGCCCTGGAGGTGGAAAGGGTCCCCTGGGTCCCGGGGAAGCTGTCCCTCGCTGGTTCTCGAGGCCCAGGGGACAGGGGGTGGAGCCCGTTGTATAGGCCTGTGCAGGGGCAGGAAGCGAGAGTGGGGAGCGGGGAGGCCACAGCCGGTGGAGGCAAGGAGGGTGCAGGGCTTGTGGGGAGGGAGGGAGGTGCCAGCACTAGAGCCCTGAGGCCCTGCTGGCCCCTGGGCGCAGGCCCAGCTCCGGCCCCCAGGGATGGACCTCGTGGACCCAGACATCTTCAACAGAGACCCCCGGGACCAGTATGACCTGCTGCAGCGGCTGGGTGGCGGCACCTATGGAGAAGTCTTCAAGGTGAGGATTCTCCTTCCTTCTCTAGCCCCTTCCAACCAGCGAGCTGAGGCCCAGGAAGCCAAGGAGGGGAGTCGAGAGAGTCCCAGTTCTCGGCTTTGGCTCACGGATGCTGAGGAGTTCAGGCGAATGGGGCCTGCCTGACTGCCAACTTCCCCTTTACAAGGCTCGAGACAAGGTGACGGGGGACCTGGTGGCACTGAAGATGGTGAAGATGGAGCCTGGTGAGGAGAGGACCCAGGACTCCTTCCCTATGTCCCCACCCCGCCTACCGGGACCCTGGGCTCACAGTCCCCAGCGCTGTCCCCCTGCAGCGGCCTTTTCTCTCCTGCCCCCCCCTCCCCAGATGATGATGTTTCCACTCTTCAGAAGGAAATCCTCATCTTGAAAACATGCCGGCATGCCAACATCGTGGCCTACCACGGGAGCTACCTCTGGTGATGAACCTCAGACCTCCCCTGGGACCCAGCCCCCAGTCCAGAACCCCCGTTCTTCACCTGGGCACCCCCTAACCTGACCTCCAATTCTGGACCCCCGTTTTTAACTGAGGCCCCTTAACTTGATTCCCAGTGTGAAGTTCTTACTGGCCAGAGTATCTCCCAATCTAATCCCCAATCTGGAACCCCCACTTCTCACCAGGGGTCCCCCAAATTGCCCTCTTCATAGAACCTGAAACCAAGTCCCCGAAAACTAACCTTTCATCATCCTGCCCCAGTTTCACTCCTTTTATACTCCTAAATTCCCTGACCCCCCAGTTAATTATCTCAGATGTCCCCATAATGACCTCTGTTCCCCAGACCTGGCACCCCGGGCCCCTCTGTCCCCGTCGATCCTCCACAACCTGGGAGATGGCCCCTGTGTCTCCTGGTTAGCACGGGGCAGCGGAAGGTGCCGGGGGTTAGAAACCCAAAGAGCTGAGTTCAAATCCAGTTGACTCTGAACATACATTTCCCCTCTGAGCCTCAGCTTCCCCATCTCTAAAACGGAAGTGGGGTGCACTCACCCTGGTGGGCAAGGGAGACAGCTGAGAGCTGCTCCAGGATGTCCTCACTGACCTAGACGGTGAGCCAGGGATTATCCTAGGAAGGATCATTTATTCCTATTTTTGTCGCTACTGTTACCTTGACCTGCTGTAGGCTGCAGAAGCTCTGGATCTGCATGGAATACTGCGGGGCTGGTTCTCTCCAGGACATCTACCAAGGTGAGGGGGAGGGCGGGGAGCCCGGCACCCCACCTCTCCTGTCTGTGCGTGTCACCTGGGATGGACTTTCTGGCCCATATGTCATTGCCAAGAGACCCTTTCATTGCCTGGATGGTGCTGGGGGTACTGTGGTGACCGATCGGACCCCGGACCCCGCCCTCTCGGACCCCAGGATCCACGACAAATTTTCCCTGCGTCTCCCTCCCTTTCTGCTTGCATCTGCATTTTCTGGTGGAGGTTATTCAAGTGCCCAAGGACTCCCGCATGCCTGGCTCATAGAAGGGGTCCCCGCTTCTGTAACCTGAGTGAATGGGCTTCCGATTCTTGATTCTTTCCTTGGCCTGCTATTTACACTTCTGGAGAATTTGAGGGGGGGTGGGAATGGGGGTAGACCTCTGATCACCCCCCAACTTCTGACACTCGCCTCTGCCTTCAGCCATCTCCCTGTCTCCCAGCCCGAGACCTGGCAGGTCAGGAGCTCCACTAAGGAGGCCTCAGGGGCAAACAGGCCCACAGTGACACAGCCCCTCTGTTAGGCCTGGCCCCTCTGGCACCCCTATTCCTTCGCGCACCTCCGAATGCGTTTCCTTCTCGGTGTGCCTGTCTTCCCGCTCCTTGGTCTCTGTTCAGTTTGGACCATTCCCCGAAAAGAGATGCCCAATGTCCTCGTGACCCCTGAATGTGACCCCACCTCATCCTGGCTCACGCACCCCACTTCCTACCACTTTCCTCCCCCCGCTCTGTTCCACCTACTTTGCTGCTTCCCAGACCCCCCAGGCCCCTTCCCCACCTCGGCACCTGCTCTCTGTCCCCCTCCAGGCAGAGACTGCCCCATCACCTCCTCAGAGTGGCCTCTGCTGACCGCTGACCGCCCCCCTGGCCTCACGGATTTCCCTAGATCCTTTTTTGCTTGGCCTTCCTGGGAATGCAGCTCACCTGCTGTGCATCTTACCTCTTTATCTCGTTTCCTCTCCATCCTGCCTGCTGGAATGTTCTCTCTAGGGGGGCAGGGACCTCTCCTGGCCACAGCTCTGTCCCCGGTGCCACCCACAGACACCGGCACACAGGAGACGTGCAATAAATACCCGTTGAGTGACTCTGCCTCCCTCTGGCCTCGGGTTCCCGGCCTCCTCGCTGCCTCTGTGCCGCTGACGGCCCCTTAGTCACCCCCTCCCACTGGTTTCCCTGAGCCCACGTGGCACCCTCTCAGCTGGTGTGGGTGGGGGCCGGGGGCTCCCAAGGCCAGGCTTCCTGCTCCCCACCCAACGCTGCTGGGGTGACCTTTGCAGTGACGGGGGCCCTGTCTGAGCTGCAGATCGGCTATGTCTGCCGGGAAGTGCTCCAGGTGAGGAGGGGCCGGGGCGGGGGCCGGGCCCGCCGCCGCCCCCAGGCACTCACAGCCCCCCATGTCCACCCCTCCCCAGGGACTGGCCTATCTGCACTCACAGAAGAAGATCCACCGGGACATCAAGGTGGCCTTGGTGGGGGGGAAGAGGAGGCAGGAGACGGGGTGGCCCTGGTGGGGGGCTGAGAGGGGATCAGGGAATGGAGGAGGCCTTTGCTCTGACTCACCCCGCTTTGGTCCCCAGGGAGCCAACATCCTCATCAATGACGCTGGGGAGGTCAGACTGGGTGAGTGCGGCCGGCAGAGGCGGGGAGGGGGCTCGCTGGCCGCCCAAAGGGTCAGGGGACCCCTCGTCACTATGCCCTCCCTCTGCCTCCAGCTGACTTTGGCATCTCGGCCCAGATCGGGGCCACGCTGGCTCGACGCCTCTCTTTCATCGGGACGCCCTACTGGTGAGGGGCGCCTGGCAGGGTTGGCGTGGGGGGCAGCGGCTTCCCCCACCCCACTTTTCGGGGAATGCCCTTCCCCTGCCACTGCTTCCTGCCTGCTCGCGGGCGCACCTGAGTTTCCCACCAGCCTTGGGCTCTCTGTCCCTCTCGCCCTGTTTCTCTCATCATTTGGTTGATTTTCACCCCGATCTCTTCGCCTCTGTGCCTTTCTGTCTCTTACCCCTGTCTGAGGCCCTGTCTCTGTCTGTCTTTCGCTCTGTCTGTCCTTGGGTTGCTCTCCATACCTGCCTCTCTGCCCCACTCGCCTCTCAGTCTCCCTCCTGCCCGCTCTGCCCCCACTCAGGCCTCCCCTCCCCCTCCTGAGGTCCCCCCCTGGTTTCTGAGGGTCTCTGCCCCCAGGATGGCTCCGGAAGTGGCGGCCGTGGCGATGAAGGGGGGCTACAACGAGCTGTGTGACGTCTGGTCCCTGGGCATCACTGCCATCGAGCTGGCTGAGCTGCAGCCGCCGCTCTTTGACGTGCACCCCCTCAGGTAGGCGGGCGCGGCAGGTGCTCTGCGCCCGGAGACCCTGGCCCTGACCTGAGCACCCACCTAACCTGCTGCCCCCATCGTGACCCCCTACAGGAGGCTCCGTGCCTCTAAGCTGAATCTGAGACCCTCAAGGATCCCCCCAACTCAGAAAGTCTTTTCTTTAGCCTCCACACTAGGACCCCCCAATGCGGGGACCCCCACCTTGAGCCTCCTCTGTGGATACTGCAGCTCATAATGTGAGGGGGGCTTCCCCTGGGATGCCCCCCCCATGCAGTACCCAACCTACTCCTCATTCCCATCCTGCCCCTCACTTTGCTCTCTGCTGACCTCGGAGCTATTGGGGGGGTCCCTCAAGTTGTGAGGTCTGACCCCACGTTCTCTCCGTATTCTAGGGTTCTCTTCCTCATGACCAAGAGTGGGTACCAGCCTCCCCGGCTAAAGGATAAAAGCAAATGGTAAGGGGGAGACATGGGAGGGAAGAGCCAGGCATGGGGGGTCCGATGGGAAGCTCTAGTCTGCTCACCCCAGCACCCCTTCTTCCCCCCAAGGTCGGCTGCCTTCCACAACTTTGTCAAAGTCACCCTCACTAAGAGCCCCAAGAAACGGCCTGGCGCTACCAAGATGCTCAGCGTAAGCATCCCTTCCCCCAGAAGCCTGCCCCCCAGGCCCCCCAGGGCCTCCCAGGACTCCCAAGAACATGGATCATTTTGTTCCATAGAACCCCAAGGGTCCTCTCAAAGTCCCTCGTCCCTCAGATTTTCCCAGACCCCGCCAAGACTCTCCAAATTGTACCCCAGATATCTTTTTCCCAAGAAACCCCGAGTGCTAAAACACACAAAATCCCAAAGGCCTCAGGTCCCATTTCTGGGTGTTCTCTGCAATTCCCGGGGAATCCCGGTCCACTCTCAGACACTCTGGAATTTTCCAAGCCCCGCCTCCCCAACCCTGAATTCATCAAATTCCTTCACTGGCACTGTCAGAATCCCCAGACCACAGCTCCCCAAAGTTCCCTGTTGGCACGTCTCCCAGTGGATCCCCTCAGCCAGACCCTGCCAGGACCACCCCCAGCCCAGCCCAGCCTGTCTGCTGACCCCCATCCCCCCGCCCCCAGCATCAACTGGTGTCCCAGCCGGGGCTGAACAGAGGCCTGATCCTGGATCTCCTTGACAAGCTCAGGAATCCAGGGAAGGGGGCGCCTGCAGGCGAGATTGAAGATGAGGAGGTGAGGGCGCCCCCCTGGCCGCCTGCCTGCCGCTCACTCAGGAGGAGGGGAAGCAGCTGGGGGCTTGGCGCAGAGCTGGGGGCACAGGGGTGGTGGGAAGGACCAAGGGCTCTGGCCCACAGGGTGGCGGGGGTGCTGAGGCACCACAACCCTGATGCCACCCCTGCTCTGCCCAGCTGCCCCCTGCCATCCCTCGGCGGATCAAATCCACCCACCGGTCCACCTCTCTGGGGGTCCCCGATGCAGACTGCTATCGTGAGTAGAGTCCTTGTGCTTGGGGACCCCTGACTGTGGATGTCCAAGAGACACCCCTGAGCTGCCCACCAGAGACCTCCTCCACCATCAGACCCCAACAGAGGCCCTCATCACTTCTAAACAGGCCTTCAGAGCCCCCCATCACCTTTGGGTATCTGACTATGGAGACCCCACTTCCCTGACTTGCAAACAGATGCCCTGAGCCTTCCACTCACCACCCTGACCCCCAAAGAGATCTCAAAACTCTGTCAGAACCCTGATACCCAAATGGACCCCCAAACAAACACAAGGGCCCCCACCGCCCTGCTCCCAAACCCTGACCCCCAAATGAAGCCTCTCTAAAACAAGAGAGAGGGACAGCTTGAGGGACATCTTCCATGCTGGATCCTGGGCCCCAGTCCCCCCAGTTCTATTCTGTCCCTAAATCTACTTCCCCAGCTCACCACAGGTTTCTCCTCACCCCTTCAGGGCGGCACATGGAGTTCAGAGGAATGGCGTCCAGACCCCCCACTGACACCGTGAGAGGCCTCCCCCTGCCTGCCCTGCCCCCCTCCCCGCCCCAGGCCCCTGCTGACACGTCATCATCCCACAGACTCGCTCGCAGCCCCCTGGAGAAGCCCCCAGGAAGCACCTGTCAGAGTCAGATGATGACTACGACGACGTGGACATGTGAGCGGCCCCCCCAGCCCCCACTCACAGCCCCGCCTCCCTCCCCCCACCCCCACCTCAGACCCCAGCTTCCTTCCACTTTCTTCTATGACCTCAACTTAACTCCCAATCTCAGGCCCTACTTGGCGCCCGCCCCACTTCCTTCCAGGATGGCCTCTGTGCCACCCGCGTCCTTCCCCGCCCGGCTTGCCCGCCCCGCGCCCTCCGCCTCGCCGCCCCCAGCTCCCCCAGATGTTGCTCCAGCCTCACCTGCAGCCGAGCCCTCCTCCCTCACCTCATCCTTCCTCCTCTTCTCACCCCACCTCGGTCTGAACCCTGATATCCGAGGGAAGCTGCTACTAACACCGCGATTGTTAGTCTGTCGTCCTCAGCTCAGCCCGGAGGGAGCCAGCGCCCTGCTCTCCTGATGTCAGGCGCCTGAGGGTCCTCGTGTCCCAGCACCCCAACCGATTACCTCATTTTTGTATTTCAGCCCCAACCCTGCAGAGGATATCCCTCCTCCCCTGCCCCCCAAGGTAAGGCCCTAGGCCAGAGCCGGGTGGCTGAGGGCTCAGCAGGCCAGGGGCCTTGGCGTTTGCGATCCCGGGCTCCCTAGGATAGAAGGGGGTACCCCACCCAGGTTCCCTGAGGTCTGGGAGTGTGGCATGATGAGCCCCTTGGGACTGGCAGGAAGCAGAGCCCTGCGATAGGGGGGCGACTCCAGGGGTTTAGCCTGGTCAGGAGCTGGTCCTGGGAACCTCATCAGACCCTCAGCACTAACCTTTCCGTGGCTGGAGCCTGTTGCTGTCTGGGGGTGGCATGGAGGAGGCCGGGGTGGCGGTGGATGGTGAGGAGGATCAGAGCCACGTTCAGAGGCCGCTTCTGGCCGAGCCGGGGTTGGCGCTACCAGGCCCCGTCTCTCTGTGAGCGCCTCATCTATTTCCCCACGTTCCTTCTCCTCTCCCAAGCCCAAGCTACGTTCCCCGTCAGACGAAGGTCCCATTGGCATCGAGGACGAGGCACTGCTGAGCCCAGGGGTGCTGGTTCGGTGTGCCAGTGGGCCTCCCCCCCGCACGCCCCACCGTGGCCCTCCCCCAGTCACCCGAAGCCCCCACTTAACTGCCCATTCAGGTAAGCGGGCAGGCCGGGGTGGGAGGGGGACGGGGCGGGGGGAGGTCACAGGTGGAGGGGTCTTTGGGGACTGATTTTCCTCCACCCCATCTTAGACCCCTCACTCTGGAGCCCCATGCCCGGGAGCCCGACCAGCCCCCACTGTTACCCCCCAAGAAGGAAAAGATGAAGAGAAAGGTGAGGAGCAGCTTGCCGAGGACTGGTGCCTGCCAAGGGGTAGGGGAGGCCAGGGGTGGGGTGGGCGGGGAGGGCGGGCAGCCATGTAGACGGTGGCAGTGGCTGAGTAGTTCCTCTGTCCCAACACTGATCTCATGCCTGGCGAGGTCAGAGAGCTCTGAGGTACAGAGGCAGGACTTGCACCCGGCAGCAGAACCCTAACCTGTGCCCCCTCCTGCCCCGCAGCCCACCCCGGGATGTACCCTCCTGGTAAAGCTGTTCAATGGCTGCCCCCTCCGGATCCACAGCACGACCGCCTGGACACATCCCTCCACCAAGGGTGGGGCTGGGAGCATCCAGGAGCACGCGGGGTGGGGAGGACCTCGGTGGGAGGCGCGAAGGGGTGGGGTCAGCCGAAGGAGGCAGGAGCAGAGTCTGGAGTATCAGTTGGGTTTGGGGTTCGGGGTTCAAAGATGGAGAGCGTGAAGATGAGCCTGAGAGTGAAAACCAGGAACACTAGAGTTTGAGGGCCACAATATAACAGGAAAGTTAGAGTTAGGGGTACAAGATGGGGGCATTAGGACCCCACTAACCTATGTTGGAGGTGAATGGTCGAGAGACTGGGATGAGCCTTTTGGGGCCGGGATTTTTCACAGAATGTAACAGAAAAGGACCACGGAGGGGTCAGGACTTGCCTAGGTGGGAAGTGGGAGGTGATAAACTGAGCCCACCTGCGGGGCTGGGTCAGGATGTGAGTTCAGATTTGGGGAAACAGAGGCTGGGAACACCGCTGTGGTGGGTGGAAGACTCGAAGGTCCGAGCTCGGAGACAGAGTGCCAGTGTTTGGGGTGTAACAAGTTTGGGAGTTTGGGAGGTCCCCCAGGATGAGGGGGGTCCCAACGTCCTGGTGTCTGTCCCCCCCAGACCAGCACCTGCTCCTAGGGGCCGAGGAAGGCATTTTCATCTTGAACAGGAACGAACAGGAAGCCACGCTGGAAATGGTGAGGGGCTGCACCCAGGGTCAGGGCTGGAGTTGGGGGCCACCGGGGTCTTACATGAGGTTCTCCCCAATCCTGCAGCTCTTTCCTAGCCGGACGACCTGGGTTTACTCCATCAACAACGTCCTCATGTCTCTCTCAGGTCAGGATGTGGGCTGGGTGGGAGGGGTGGGGGTCAGAAGTTCAAATCCCAGCCACTTCTCCACTGTGGCACTTAGGGCGAGAAATGGCTGTTTCCAGAGCCTCAGTTTCCCCATCTGTAAAAGGCCCTCACGCTAGTCCCTACCACAAGTCCGTTTTGAACTAATTTCTGTGATAAGTTATTCTTACATTTCCTTTCTTTTTTCTTTTCTTTTCTTTTTTTTTCTAGCTTTAAAAGCCAGTGTAGCCAGGGAAGCCAGTAGAGTGTAGGGTCCTTTAGATGAGAGACAAATCACTTATTTTCAGGCTATTTGGGGCCAGATTAAACTTTCTGGGCATACCTAGGACAGCTCAGATCTCTGAGCTAGATGCCGACTTGCCACTAACCTTAACGGTGGAAACCACCAGCAATGAGATTGCTCATCTCGCACTACATCCACATCAGACTTGTGAACGACCCCCAATTTTCCCCCTAAGCTCATGTGAATTCTGAGAAGACTGTCGTATCTGTCTTTACTTAAAAAAAATTTTCCCTACCACTCTACATCTCCTTGATGTACAGATCACAATGAGGACACATTCCCCACTTGAGTAAGATAATGCGAGCAAATTGTAATTAAAATTTTACGCCATTCATTTACTAACGTGTTGAAAAGAATTTCTAATTTATGGGGAAATGTCAAGCCACACAGGATTCATGCACTAGTTAATATCATGTCTGTGAGGCGAACTTGAGAACCAGATATCGATCTTCTTCAGCTCTGAAGTGTGTGTAGCCTCAGCTGGCTGGCTGGGAGTCCAGACTTCCTGAGGCGGCTGCAAGCCCCGCAGGGTTATGGAGTGTGTTTTACTCACCACTGTTCACCAGAGCCAAAGACAGTGGGGGTTTAAAAACAGGTCGAGTGGGAGGTGAATCAGTGGAAAGGGCGTGCAGCGTGAAGACCTGGGCGTTTGGGGCAAAGGGATGGGGCTGAGTGAGGGATGAGGGGAAGGGGGGGGGCTGTATCCAGGGTCCTATAACTGCCTGCTTCCCCCTACACTCACACACACTGCAGGAAAGACCCCCCACCTGTATTCTCATAGCATCCTGGGCCTGCTGGAAAGGAAAGAGACCAGAGCAGGAAGCCCCATCGCTCACATTAGCCCCCACCGGCTCCTGGCAAGGTACCAGTTCCCCGTGGCCTGGCAGACCCTGTAACCACGGCCTTCAGTCCTGTTCCCTCCCTCTCCTCCCCCGCCCCCCCACAAAATGCCAACTTTCTTCTGCAGAAAGAACATGGTCTCCACCAAGATCCAGGACACCAAAGGCTGCCGGGCGTGCTGTGTGGGTGAGAGAGCCCCGTGGGTGTGCAGGGAGGAGGTGGGCTGTGCCTGCATCAGCCCAGAGTTAAGTTGGAGGGTTCAGGCGGGGGTGTTGGAGTCTCGGGGGCGGGGAGGGGGGAGGTGTGGCTTCTGCAGGCCAGGGAGGCGGGAGAGTGGGCGTCGGGGTAGGGGATTGACCTCAGTCCATCTTTACCCACCCACAGCCGAGGCCGCGAGCTCCGGGGGCCCGTTCCTGTGCGGGGCATTGGAGACATCCGTGGTCCTGCTTCAGTGGTACCAGCCCATGAACAAGTTCCTGCTGGTCCGGGTAGGGAGCCAGGGGCTGAGGCCCTCCACGCTGGATTCCACCCGAGGCCCCGCCCCAATCCTCCCCAAGGCTCCGCCCACCTACCGGGTCTGTGGCTTCCTGAGCCTTAAACTCCGCCCCCTCCCCTGGACTGTTAGTTCTGCAGGCCCGATGCACCCGCTCCCCGGGTGTCCCAGGGGACCCCAGTCAGGGCCTTTGAGTCTCTAAAGAGACTTCGCTGGCTGGGAAGCCAAGCGCTCCCGGGGCCACGCCTGTCACCAAGGGGCACGCCCCCAAGTGGAAGCCACGCCCCCGAGTGGAAGCCACGCCCACTCCGAAGCCACTTCGTCGCTTTCTAAGGCTGCACGACCTAAGCCCTCTGAGCCCGAACCCCTGAATCTTTCAGAAGTCACCTCCCAAGACCCAGGGCCAGAGTCCTTCGAGGCCCCGCCCCCAGCCTCCTCTGGGCCCGCCCCCGCCGCGAGGCCCCGCCCCCAGCCGCTCTGAGCCCGCCTCGCCCCGAGGCCCCGCCCCCAGCCTCCTCTGAGCCCGCCCCGCTACGAGGCCCCGCCTCCAGCCTCCTCTGAGCCCGCCCCGCTACGAGGCCCCGCCCCCAGCCTCCTCTGAGCCCGCCCCTCCACGAGGCCCCGCCCCCAGCCTCCTCTGAGCCCGCCTCGCGCCGAGGCCCTGCCCCCAGCCTCCTCTGAGCCCGCCTCGCGCCGAGGCCCCGCCCCCAGCCTCCTCTGAGCCCGCCTCGCGCCGAGGCCCCGCCCCCAGCCTCCTCTGAGCCCGCCCCGCCATGAGGCCCCGCCCCCAGCCTCCTCTGAGCCCGCCCCGCCCCGTGTGGCCCCGCAGCAGGTGCTGTTCCCGCTCCCGACGCCCCTGCCGGTGTTCGCGCTGCTCACCGGGCCGGGCTCCGAGCTACCTGCCGTGTGCATCGGCGTGAGCCCCGGGCGGCCGGCCAAGTCGGTGCTCTTCCACACCGTGCGCTTCGGCGCGCTGTCCTGCTGGCTGGGCGAGATGAGCACCGGTGAGCGGGGCGGGGTCTCGCCGGGGCGGGGCTGCTGGGGGCGGCCCGGATGATCCCCGTTAGGGGGTGGGTCCTTAGTGTCGGGCGGTGCTCGCGCGGGGGGCGTAACTGGGAACCGGGTGGGAGCGAGTACCGGAGAAAGGCGGGGATTTGTAACTCATGCTCTCTATGAGCACGAGCTCATGACCCAGCGGGGTCGCTGTGATGCCCGCGTGCTGGGGGATCAGAGAGTGTCCAGCGCAGGAAGGTGGAACTAGGCTGAATTGGTTCTTGAATACCCTTCTCTCAAATAGAGCACAAAGGGCCAGTACAGGTGACCCAGGTTGAAGAAGACAAGGTGATGGTGTTGATGGACGGTAAGGGCCCTCCGCTCCTCCCCACTGCTGCTGCATCTTCAACGCCAGCCCCTGTGCCACTCAGAAACAGCACGTCCCACTGGGCCTCACCCCGACCTGCTTCTCACACTGGCTCCATTGCCCAGGCCCTAGGTAGACTTCTGAGCCCCGATCACTGGCCTTACAGCTTTCTCTCTACCTTTTCTAGGGTCTCTGAAACTGGTGACCCCCGAGGGGGCTCCAGTCCGGGGTCTTCGAACTCCAGAGATCCCCATGACTGAAGCCGTGCAGGCTGTGGGTAGGTGCAGGGTAGGAGGGCCCCGGGGTCTGGAGGGAGGCCCCTTGATATCCAAGGGTCACAGGCACTGCTCTCCCCACAGCTATGGTCGGGGGTCGGCTCCAGGCCTTCTGGAAGCACGGAGTGCAGGTGTGGGCTCCAGGCTCAGACCAGGTAAGCATCTCGATCTCAGTACCTGCCGTCGTTGCCTCCCACCCCGTCACTTTCATCAGGTGGGCTGGGAGAACTAAGCCGGGGTGCGAAGTCCTGGAGTCTCCTTCAGTCTCAGTTGAGACAGGGTCTAGTTTGGGGTCTCTTGGGTGGTGCTTAGCTTGGGGCGTGACTGGGAAAGGCGTTGTGGGTGGGGGCTGCTGGAGAAAGATGGGTTGTAGAGCTGATGAGCCTGATCACCTGCAGTGGCCGCTAGAGTGGGCAGGACTTTAGCCTACTTGTTCGGGTGCCCAGCGAAAGGTCCAGAGCTCATCCAGGCCACTACGTGGTTTTCTACAAGGGACTTTTCTACTCTCCTCAATTTAGTCTCCCAGCTATAAAGTGGGGATCATATAGAGACATGTGGGTGGTTAACAGCGGGGAGCAGACTGCCTGGGTTGAAATCCAGCTAATTGACCTTAGGCAAATGACTCTCCCTTCCTGTGCCTCACCTTTCCCATCTGGAAAATGGTGTTTTGCTCATAGACCACGATGTGCCACACTCTGACACTCTGCCTTTCAGGGTTTTATTGTATTTAATCTTCATGCTCACCTGTCAGATAAGCACTGTGATTTCACAGGTCAATAATCCAAGGCACAGAGAGGTCAAGTAACTTTCCTGAGATCACACAGCTGGTGAGCAGTATGGTCAAGAATGGTTATTTCTGGACCTGAGATGAGAAATTTGGGGAGCTTCCTCCCCCTTCTCTCTCTAAGGGAGTGGGGGGCAGTCGTCTAGACACTGACATAAGCACCTTTTCCCCCAGCTGCTGCAAGAACTGAGGGACCCCACCCTCACCTTCCGTCTGCTTGGCTCCCCCAGGTATGGTCTTGGGGAAGGGGCCAGAGGGCCTGGGAGGGGGCTTTCTGATGTGGCGAGGCCATATTGGGGTATTTTCATTCTGATATAACTTTAGACTCACAAAAAGTTGCAAAAGTCTCCTTTACTCAAATTCTTCAGATGTTGACTTTAAAAAAAAAACAAAACACATCTGGTGCACCCTTCTACTTCTGGCTGTTGGGGAGTAAGTTGCAGACATGATGCCCATAGACCCCTAAATACTTGGGTGTAATGTGTCCTAAATCAAAAACAAGGAAACATCCTTACAAACTACACTGTTGCTGTCAGAATCCAGAAACTGACCCCCGTAGCCTCCTCATCACACACCCATCGAGTCTCCCCAGGGGTCACACAGATACTCTTAACCACCAAAAATGAACACTCTCTTCCCCTGGTCCAGGGTCTGATTCAGGACCAGGATGTGCATTTAGGACTCGAGTTTCTTTAGTCTCGAGTCTGGAACAAGTCTTTAGACTTTGTTTTTCGTGACCCTGACACTTTTCAACAGCACAGGAAAGTGGGTTTTACACACTGTCCCTCAGCTGGGTTTGAGGTTTCCAGGTTAAATGTTTTGGTCTGTAACATCACAGACACCATGGTGTGTCCTCAGCGCACCAGGAGGGACAGTGCACTTTGTCCCATTATGTTATTTTTGATCATTTGGTCATTTGGTTAAGGTGGAGCCAACCAGATTTCTCCACTACGAAGTTATTCTTTTTTCCTGTTTACTAAGTATTTTTTTGGGGGGGGCAATTATTGAGACAATGTAAACACACTGTTTCTCATCAGTCTTTCATCTATTCATTTTAGAATCTGTTGATGATTTTTGCCTGAATCTGTTATTAGGATGGTTACTAGGGTGACTTTCTAGCATTCTTTCCACATTTATTAGTTGCTGTTCTACCATAGGGAGCTCACCCTTCAGCATGGTTTCATGGATTTCCATTTCATTCTGTGACTTATAACCTGCTACTACCGTTATTTATTTATTTATTTTAAAAATTGATTTATTTATGCATACAGGAACTGGGGTACAGGCCAGAAGTATGGGGGGTGAGAGGATTCACCAGAGACAGAGTGGGGAACAGAATAGTCAGACTGAAGAAATACACTGCTGAGGGGAGCAGTGGGCAAGTCAGGAGAGGTCTGCTGCGCCATGTGGGTCAGCTCCCTGGCCGGGGATCAAACTCGTGCTGCAGAGGCTGCAAATAGCTTCACAGTGCTGTGCTTAACCCCTTGAGCCACCAGGGAGGTCCCCCATTGTTTATTTTGAAGCACAACTAGTCCCCAATTTAGCTGGGGAGAACCCCTTCAAAGATCCCCTGTAGACTAATGACATGCAGAAGGTCTTTTAAAATCCAGATTTGACTGTGTCACTGTTTGAAACCTGTCGGCAGCTCTTTCTGCCCACTTGTGTCTGTGCAAGCGCCATCTTCTCCGTTTTTTCTAATAAACTTAACCATTTTGGATATAAAAAAGAAAACTTCTGGGCCTCCCCGGTGGCGCAACGGTTGAGCGCTGGCTTGCGAAGCTGCCCACAGCCTCTGCAGCGCTGGTTCGATCCCCGGCCGCAAAGCGAGGGTCCCACATGGTGCACAGACCTCTCCTGCTGCCCGCTGCTCCCCTCAGCAGTGTACTTTGTCAGTCTGCCTGCTCTGCCCCCCCCTCTGACTCTGGTGAATTCTCTCACCCTCCCGCGCTTCTGACTGTACCCAGTGCTTATATAAATAAATAAATAAATCTTTAAAAAAAAAAAAAAAAGAAAAAAAGAAAACTTCTGGGCCTCCCTGGTGGTGCAGTGGGTTGAGCGCAGCACTGTGAAGCTGTCGGCAGCCTCTGCAGTGCGGGTTCGATTCCCGGCCAGCCGGCGAGAATCCCACATGGCACGCAGACCTCTCCTGTTGCCCCTGCTGCTCCCCTCAGCAGTGTATTTTGGTCAGTCTGCCTGTTCTGCATCCCACTCTTGTCTCTGGTGAATCCTCTCACCCTCCCGCACATCTGGCCTGTACCCCAGCTCTTGTATAAAAATAAATTAAATCTTAAAAAAAAAAAAAAAACTTCTGTGGCCTCTATATAAAGACCTAATCCTTCTGGAGCCAAGCCCCAGCTCCTATCCCACCTGAAGGCCTTTACACAGGCTATTCCCTCTGCTCTGAACACTCTTCCCTGCCCTTTAACCAAGTTCCTTCCTGAGACTCTCTGGGGTTCCACCATCTCTTTGGGGGCACCTTGGCTGACCTCTTGGGCTGGGTTTCCCTGCTCTGTGCCCCATGCACTCAGGTAATTCACTGATTCATGTTTGCCTGCCACTCTGGACTGCGCGCCCGAGGGCAGGGACTGGCACTGTGTCGGCACAGATGCCATGACTTTGAATGACAGAATGAACAAATGAACAAACTGACTTCTCTCTTCCCTCCCCAGGCCTGTGATAGTGGAGACACGCCCGACGGATGACCCCAATGCTCCCAGCAACCTCTACATCCAGGAATGAGTCCCTAGGGAGGGTGTCAGGCACTAGTCCCTGCACCCCCCCACCCCAACAGACACACTAGTGCTCAGGACTTAAATAAACAACTTCAGTCACCGTTGTCTTCTTTTTTTGAGGGGTGGAAGGCAGAATTCCCACCCACCCCGAAATGCCACCAATCCAACACAGTGACAGGAGGGATGTAGGAGACTTTATTTCTCCAGTACTTGGTTTGGGGGGCTACAGGGCTTGCTCTGAGAGTAAGGCACTTGAGGTGGGGGCGGAGGCCAGCTGGGGGCTCTCAGCTAAGCTGGTCCTCATACTGCTTGCGGAAACAATCTCCAGCTGGGAAGAAATCCCAGCATCGCTCTTGGTACATCTTCCAAACATAAGACTCCTAGGGTGGGGGATGGGGAAGATTCGATGGGTCACATCTTCCAAGGCTTGATAATGACACGAGCTTCTTACTGCCAGCTACTGACCTTATATTCAAACGCATGGCCCACTGCCCTCCCGTTAGCACCCCCTTACCTGACCCGTGTGTTCCGTCTCGTCCTTGTTTATCAGATACATCAGGAAAAACCTGGGGGTGGGAGGCAGGTCAGGACCACCCTCTCCTCCTGACCGGGAGGCCACCCACATGGACGCCACACCCGCTGCCCCAGCTGGCCCATGCCCACCACCGGCTCTGGCACTCTGGCCAGGCCCCGTCCTCCTGATAGGCCAGCGGGCCCAAGCTCACATGTAATTGGCCAGGTTGTGCTCCTCCAGCGTGTGGGTCTCAAACCCGTGAGGCGTCGTATCGAAGTAGTCACTGCCGATGCCGCAGATGAAGCACTTGGTCTGTGAGAGGCGGGGAGACATGAGTCAAGGCCACGCGACTGTCCCGGAGTTTCAGAACTCCTCCGGGCCGCCCCACGCGGGCCCTACCTCCATATCTTCCTTCACTTGCTCTTGCTGATCTCGGAGCTCACCAAAAGCGTCGATGATCAGACCTGGGGGATGGCAGGGTGCAGGTCAGCGCCCAACCTTTGACCTGTTCAGACTCCGCCCTCTTCTGGCCCTGCCTCCATCCCCCATCTCCCCAGCCTCACCCTGCTTCCTAAAAATAACACCGAGCATTTATTGAGCATTTATTATGCACCAGATACTTAACACCTAGGAACTGACTTAATTTTTACAACAACCCTCTGAGTTTAGTGCCATAAACATGCCCATTTTGCAGATGGATACACAGAGGCCTAGGGAGGTGACTTGCCTGAAGTCTCATAGTAAGGAGAGACAGACCCAGTTTATAATCCAAACTGGATCCTGAGTCTGCACTCCCAGCTCTGAGCACTGGGCACTGAGCCCCGGCCCCCACCACCGCCCACCGCTACTGACCCTGGATGATGGCCAGCAGGATGACAATGACGAAGAAGAAGAAGGTGATGTCGAAGACGACCCGGTACAGCTCGTACTCGTCGCCTGCTGGATCCTCAATCTCGTCCCCGATGCCCCCACCGGCTCGGACACCCACGTACATGTGAAACAGGTAACACTGAGGGGGCAGGGCGAGAAGCATGTTGGTCACCATTCAATCATCTGACATTTACCAACCACCTACCAGAGGCCGGGCCCTGTGCTGGGGGTGGGGGGCAGGCGGCACGGCAGGGACTGAGACAGCTCTGGGCTCTGCCCTCACAAGGCTCACAAACATGGCATCGGACAGTGACAGCCCGGATTTGCTCAGGGCTGTGATGGGAAGACACAGGGGTCAGGCAGGGAGGGGGGCAGAGGCAGGAGGGGAGGCACAGTGTGATGAAGGGTGAGATGGGGAACTCAGAAAGCTTTGAAGCTCTGCAAGCCTGACGCAGCTGGGGTGATCAGGCAAGGCTTCCTAGAAGAGGGGACTCTGTGTGAGTTGGAGCTTGAAGGTGTTTAGGGGGGAGGGAAAACCACATGAGCTACACCACCACTGGGGAGAAGAGAATATATTTTGCTCTTGTGAGGAACTGAAAGAGCTTTGGTGAGGCTGGAACATAAAGCTCCTGCGAGCAAAAGCAGGGAGAGAGATGAGGCAGGCCCGGTCACAGAGCTCTGCAGGCCCTGGACTAGTTAGTGGTCAGGGAGGGCTTCCTGTAGGAGGCAGCATTTAAGTTGAAAGGTGAGTTGTTAAGTAAAGGGGTGTAAGTGTATGTAGGACCTGGGGTGGGGTGGGCAGAGAGTGTGTCAGGTGAAAAGGGCCTGAGTTGGGAGGAAACCACGGTCTTAGGGGAACTGAAAGAGGACCAGGCCACCAGATCAAAAAGCAAGAAGGACTGTGATTAGACTCAGGCAAGATTAGTTCTTTCTGGGCTTCGTGAGTCATGGTGAAGGGATTCAATTTTATCCACTTGGAGATGGGGAGCCAAAGGTTCTGAGTGGTGAGAAGAAGTCAGGGGTGGGGAGCATGGTCTGCCCTGCACTTGTGAAAGATTTCACATTTCTACTCTCTGTGTCCCCCAGAAGCGAGAGAACCCTGTTGTCTTAGGTAAAAGCAAAAGGCCAATGACTATGGTAAGGACAAGTCTGTAGGTGCAAGACCAGCTCTGGTGGGGCCTCAGAGGTCAGACTGAGGACCTGGACTGTTCTCTCGGAGCAGGGTGTCAGCTACAGGACACCGTCTGAGACAAAGGCCTGCGTGACTCTCTCAGCTGTGAGCCATGCCACTCGGAGGTGAAACACAATTTGGGCCACGGCCCCCACTTCTAGACTGGAAGAGAAAACGTAAACCTGCCTGGTACGCCCGTTCATCAGGTGACACTTTTAATTGCTGACTATGATGACAGTGGCTGACATCTGTGTCATCCTTAATAGCAGCCAGGCGCTATCCTAAGGCATCTAGTCTCAGAGTGTCAGGGAACACCATTTAGTCCTAAAAGCAACGCTTGGATGTGGGCGCTGTTGTTACACACCCATCTGACAGGTGAGGACAGCAGAGTGGGGGAGGGTTGGTTGCCCCAAATCACCTTACGGCCCAAGCACCTTCCCAGTAATAAAAGCTTTCAAAGCTCAAACAATATTACAGCAGTAGCTAACATTTACCGAGTGTGGATTATGTTCCTGGCACTGTTCAAGGCTACTTGTGATAGCAGCTCATAGAAACCTCCAGAAATCTACCACGTAGGTATTGTTATTATTATTTTATAAAGATTTATTTATATTTATGCATACAAGAGCTGGGGTACGGGCCAGAGGTGTGGGGGGGGTGAGAGGATTCACCAGAGACAGAGTGGGAAACAGAACAGGCAGACTGACTGAAATACACTGCTGAGGAGAGCAGTGGGCAAGTCAGGAGAGGTCTGCTGCGCCATGTGGGTAGCTCCCTGGTCAGGGATCGAACTTGTGCTGCAGTGGCTGCCCATAGTTTCATAGTGCTGAGATTTAACCCCTTGCGCCACCAGGGAGGCCCTCAGGTAGTTATGATTAGCCCACTATACAAACTGAAAAACTAAGGGTCAGGGACAGTCATTCACTTGGCCAAGCGTGTTGGGGGAGGGGCTCACCGTCATCATGTCGTCACACTTCATGTCAGGCTCATCCTCATCCTCGCTCTTGTTGTAGAACTTCCGGAAGAAGTTGAAGGCCACCACGGTGTACAGGTAGACCACCACCGCCAGGAGGCCCACAGTCATCACCAGCTGGGGGGGGCAGGGGTGGGCCGGTTCCAGAATCAGCTTGTCCCTCCCCCTTGCTGGGCCTCCCCAGTCCTGACCTGGATCAGCCCCTGGGGCTCTCGCCCCTTCTCAAGACCCACAGCTGCCCTGGCTGAGCCCGCACAGCCTTACCCCTCCCCACTCCAGCAGCCAGGCCCTCACCCCTCCACCCACTCAAAGTCAAGCTCCTCCCGGCAGGCTCGCCCCTCAGCCAGGCCCTCTCCACACCTGTTTCCCGTTGTGAGTGACGGAGGAGAGGATGGTTCGCAGCGTCTTGACCCCCATGGCGATATCCAGGAGGTGGGCAGCAAAGAAGAAGTTGTTGTAGTGCCCCAGGAGGGACATCACCATGTACCAGCTCAGGTACAGGAAGGACTGTGGACACACAGGGTCAGGCGTCAGGGAGCACGCAGAGACACACAGGGTACGTTGGGGCCAGGGAACATTCGAGAAGGTTTGGAGTGCTCTGGGGGTCGGGGTGCCCTCTCTGGCTAGGGTGTATTGGAGGAGAGCCAATCCTGAGAGGAATCAGGGATACTCTGCCAAATGTCAGGGAATTCGAGAGCACAACAGGGGCACCAGAGAATGTTCTGGGGAAGAAGGAGCCTTGGTGGGGTCAGAGGGTACCCTGGGATCCGAGGTACATAGAGGCTCAGGAATCAGTCCCTGGTTGGGGATACCTGGGGGTGGAGCCGCCAACCCTTCTCCTGAGAGTCCCTCCCCATCTACGGGCCCTCCTCACATTATCTGTGAAGATGACCCCAAACTTCCAGATCTGGTACTTGACATCAATGGACATGAGCCTGTGTGGGGTGGGGGGAAGGAGAAAGTCAGATGCCCGAGGGTCAAACCAGGTTCCCTCTGCTGCTTGCCCCAGGCTGCCCAGGCTGCCCCTGCTCACCAGGTGAGCAGCCCAGGGGGCGGCTCAGGCTTGCGCTCGTTTTGGGCTGTGATCTCCAGGGAGGCCAAATCCATGCCTAGCAGCTCAGCGATCCGCTCCCGCCCATAGATGTCGCCATGCTTGTCCAGAACCTGCATGGGGGGAATGGGGAGGGTGTGCAGGCACAGCTGGTGGGGAGGGTGTGCAGGCACAGCTGCAGTGGGGGAGGGTGGGAGTCTGCACGGGATGTTCTGGGGATACTCTGAACTTTGAGAAATTGAAAGTGCATTTGTCTGGAAGAGTCAGAGCTTTCTTCACTTCCTGGCGTAAGGAGGGGGGGTTCCAAACTGAAAAAGGTTTAGTTGATTTATTAGCCAAATTGTAAGAATTTACTGTATTAAGCAGGAGGCAGGGAATCCCAAGTACCTGGGCCCTCCACCATGTATGAACTTCTCTCCTTCCATGTACCCCCTCACTCACTCTGCTCCAGCTACAGATTTTCAAATACCCCCGGGTACATTCCTGCCCCAGGGCCTTTGCACTGGCTGCTTCCC